TTCCCTTTGAGCTAATTTGCTACACCTTAATAACAGTATTGTCTTATTCTGTGGTTGGCAAATAATTTGATTACTGATGTCCATGTAAACAAAGTCACTGAAGTTTATTATTATTAAGTCAGATGGGATACTTTAATTAAATCTAATTTATTCTGTAATATTTTCTAGCTCCTCTTCCTACTCCTGTCATTTCCACCTTAACTCAACACCCAGCTGCATCTCCAGAGTCCAAATGTGTGCTGCTGTGTTCAGTGGTGAATGTGAGCGCTGTGAGTCTCTCCTGGTTCAGAGGAAACCGTTTATTATCCAACACCAGTGTGTCTGATCTCAGCATCTGCCTCTTTCTACCTCTGGTGGTGGAATATCAGGATAAGAACACCTACAGCTGTGTGGTGAAGAATCCCATCAGAAACCACACCACACATCTGGACACACCCTGTAACACACACTCAGGTATGGTAGTGAGGATACTAACAATTATTAGTCAATTCCACAATAAATAAATAAATAATACAAACATTTTGAGACTGCTAACAGTTGAACACTATATTCCTCAGAAAATGGCCTCTTTCCTAAACATTTGATCCTATTGGTTCTCTCTGCTGTGGTGGGCGTGCCCATGGTCACGGCCGTGGTGACTGTTCTGGTTTATAAGTTCATATCCAGACATCTTCAAAAGAAGAAGCGTGCGCAGGAAGAAGCACAAAACGCCTATTCATCTCTAGTTTTTTGCAAAAAATAGAAGATAATAAAATCTCAATCAGCAGCCTTGTTCAGTGCACTTACCAGGGCGTCAGCCATATTAAGTGCCGTCCCAATCTCAAAATTTTTCTAGTGCGCTGAAACGTTTGCATCCAGATAAATCCCACAATGCACTGTGAAAATCAGGGCACATCATTATTCAACATTACGCATCCTTAATGGAATTTTGGAAGCCAAAATGATCAAATGTAATGACAAATAAGATGTTTTTCTAAAAAGAGTCAATTTTTTTGACTGGATAGGTTAGAAAAAATCTAGCAAACATTGCTAATGGATTAATTGTTTTAAAAACGTATTATTTAATATATGAACATTAGTTTTGCTGTTATTTAAAAACAGTTTTGATGAGATACAATGAGGATGTGTCCCAATGTTTAGTGAAACAGCTCATCAGTGCCCGAATTCATGCACAAGACCTACTGATCAATGATCTCGGGTGCTGACTGAGACACATGCAAAGTTTCCGTTTCATTGCTGGTCAAAACTCAAAACATTTGAAGTGTGTGCATCCACTTTTACTAAAATTATTATATCTCTAGAACAGAATAAGATGTCTTGACCAAACTCACAATATGTGCTCAATCTGTGCTCAAATTATGAAATGCTGCATTTGGCCTTATGGTAGCACTATAACGGAAATAAAATCGTAAAATCAGATTCTTTGTATTGTGTTTATAGCAAATATATTGTCTTTGATTGATATCCCAGTAATATCTAAAGAGGGCATTGCTTTATCTTGAAAACATTGTCGCCATTGTGCAATAACATTTTAGTAGCTATTTGAGAAGGTAAATGAAGGCCGATTGGAACAAAAATGGGTGTTTGACCAACGCAATCTCACAGCAATTCGTAACTTTTTGATTTAGTGGCTAGTTTGTATGAATTTGTATGATCTAATTCTAACAGTTTAGTAGGATTTGCTCATCACCCAATGACGGTTGGGTTTAGGGGTAGGGTTGGGTGTCACGTCTCTTTTTTTTTTAATTGTTCATTTTCATATGACTGAACTCTGAAATACTTACGTTTTCTCATGAGATCTGTCTGGTTTGACTCATGGTCCTATAGGTCTGTGAGATATTTGAGAAGAACAAATTTAACTTAAGAACCAATATTGTCAATCAAACTATTCATTAAATATTCACCATTATATTAAAAAACTTCTTTTGTGAACTTTTTCTAGACTGGGGGGTGCGTCAGCCTCAATTACACACCTGAAGCAGCTAATCAAGCTATACACTGAGCTTTTCTCCTTATAGACTTCCATCCCTACGCACGTGAATACAGTATGTTAGACTGGAAAAGCAAACTCACGAGACAAGTTTTGCAGTTCACACTTTGGTTACCTTTCAGCACAGTGCCTGACTGTTTAGGAGCACATGAAGCTTTATCTAAAAATTTCCTCACCACTTAATTCAATAATATTCATCATATTTAAACCAAACTTGGGAGTTTATGATAACCATTTATTGTCATAAACCTGCTAGTCTGGCAGTTAAAATATGCGTTTTATCAAAACAGTCTCAAAATTCTTGAATTCCCAGTAACTTTAAACAGATGTGTCAATGTATGTTTTGTGGGTTTTCTCCTCGTTTGTTTACTTTCCTAATTGTCTATTTTATATGTGTGGTGATGTTTTTGTGTAAAGATTATTGAATGCCTGTTTTAAAAAAATAAACTACCTTTTTAAAAATGTTTTTAAAAGCTTATATTGGAGCCTGATATAAATAATTCATTGTCTTAATCACAGTAAGAGCACATGCAACTGTAAGAAATTAGTCTGCCTTGACCCAACTTCTATTTCACAAGTGTATTCTATGCTGATTTCTAAACAAAGAGCTTAATTATCACACATGAAGTATTTAAGTGTTTAAATAATGCCGTTAAAGTGATAATTCACTTCTTTTAGCATGGGAGCAGCAGAGAGCCATCACGAACCATCTGCTTTCTATAACAGTTGGTCTTTCCACTTAAATGTCTACCAAAGATCTGGAAACGGAAGAGCATCACTTTTATTGTTGTTTTTTATTTACATTCAAAGCGAAACCTTAACATGGTAAGGGGGAAGAAACAGTATAAAATGTTTGAATGGAGGATGATCTACATTCATTTAATCTCCGCTGAATCTGAAGTGCTGTCTCCACTTTGTTACTACTACTCTGGAATAAAACTTACTTTTTTCTTCAAGACGTCCTCACCTTTTTTCTTACACAACTGTTACTACCAATAATCATTATAATTATAGTACATCTCTCTCTTTTGCTGTAAAGTGATGCCCAAGATATATTTTATGTATTCACATAGGCATTCAATTATTTGTTACATAATTAAATAAACTTGCTTTCATTTTAATTCTTGTGCCTCATTCTTTACTTTGTGGAAAAAACATTAGATTTGAAAACACAACAATTCAGATCTGCTTTAGGTTAAATCTTTAGTAGACTTGTAATTTTAAGTCAACATCTTTTTTTTTCCAAGTCATAGTTTTGCAAGTGTCCATGTGTTAACTGAGAATAAAAGATGCACAGTAATATATATTGGTTTTAAAAGAAAACTTTATTATTGTCTCTGGAAACATTAAGTCAGCACACACACTTTATTTACACCAAGAAAATCGATTCTAAACACAGTATCTGGCCTTTAAAAGTAAAAGAAAATAAAGCATTAGATGGAAAGAAACCTGTTTAAAGCTGTCATATCTTAATCGATGTGGCCATTTCTGGGAAGCTGCTGACCGCTGGGTCATAAAAGTACCGAGGGTAAAATGAGTCAAAATGAGAGCTGAGCACAGTCTCAAAAATAAATGCGTGCACACGAGTCAAAATATATTCCACGCTTATCTTATGCTGACCTGCATGCAGCAAAACTATATTCATGCATATTTAGATTTAACATTGCTAAGAGCTTCCATGTTGTGTACATCGAACTCTGACTCTACATCTGAATGTTTCAGAAATTGAAATTTGATTAACATTTAGCTCACTCTAAAATGCTGAATGTCATAACACAACATTGGGTCAAATATGGGCAAACTCAACCACTGGTTTAAAAGTGTCATTTAATTTTAATTAAAAAAATTAAAAAAAATAAGTGTCTGGGTTTCCATGTTTGACCCAGTGTTGTGTGGTGAACAGACAGAAAGTCACTGCTGGAGGATCAACTACTTTTGCTTGATTCACTGATATGTGAAAACTTCATAACTGAAATACAAATATTTAAGAAGAAAACATGCACAGTTTATTAAATCACACTTCACATTATAGCAAACCTATTTAATGATCATTCTAACCAGTAGTTAAAGGGATAGTTCAATCAAAAATGACAATTCTGTCATCGTTTACTCTGCTTTCACTTGTCACAAACCAGTTTCATCTCTTTAGTTGAACACAAAATAGGACATTTTTAAGAAATGTTGGACACCTTTAACCACTGACCTCCATAATATCAGCTGTTCCTATAATGAAAGTCAATATTTTCAGCTTTCTAACATTTTACATAGAAAAAAGATACAAATAAAGGTTTGTAACCACTTGAGTATGAGAAAATATTGAGTAAATGTTCCTTTTTGGGTAAACAGTCTCTTCAATAGACATCATTGTAATGCAACAACACTTATCAAACATTGAGATCACAGACAAAGTTAATTACAACACAAGAAAGAACAGACTTCTGTGGCCCTCCGCTGAATAAATAGTCAAAACCCTTTGTTTCTCAGACTAAACAATAGCTGCACTCGCATCCTCTTTACTAATGATTGCAATTCATTAACATGCACAGGTTTAAGAAAAAAGCTTTTCTTATCACAAATTTTGCCTTGCTTCTAGTCTATGGAGATAGTTTTGTTTTATTATTGTTCAATCAAAAATATTTAGTTTTAAAGAAAAATTAAGTATGTAGTAAATAAAAAATAAAAGATTTCAAATAAAAAAACATGTTTAATTTAAAAACTTATGTCAATGATAATAATATATTTTATTAATAAGAGAACAAAATTAATGAGTGTGCAATGAAAATTGTGGTAACTGCATAATAGGACAATTGTTTATTTTTTGCAATACAAAATATTTTATTATCATTGTAATAAGTTTTTAAACTAAACGTGTTTTTTTTTTATTTGAAAAACTTTTTTTATTTTATTTTATATTATTTTTTTTACATTTTATTTTTTAATTACTACATAATTATTTTTTCTTTAAAACTAAATATTTTTATTGAATAATAAAGAAACAAAACTAACTCCATACTAGTTCAAATATTAAAAAATTCTCAAATCAAGAAGCATTTTCTAGACAAGCAACACAGATTGTCTTGGTTTAAGAAAGAAGTTTTTCCTTAAAACAAGCAATATAATAAACTAAATAATCTTATGTCAAAAGGAAACATGATTATTTTGCTTACACTATTGGCAGATTTATTTTTTATTTTAAGAAAACTCACTTAATTATTTTTAATTATTTGTTAGAACAAGACTAGAAAGTCTAGTCTAGAAAATGCTTCTTGATGTAAGATTTTTTAGGATATTTGCACTATAATAAAACATCTAAGAAGAGCATTTCAGTGTCTCATATAGATTTCAAAACGTATCTACAGCTTTCAAAGTGTTTATGAGTTTTCAGGAAGGTCTGTTCAACTCAGGATTGCTTGATTGTGGCATCTGTATATTTACTGATTCATTCAGTGTGTTTCTGGAGTCATCTGGAAGAGAAAAACAGACAAAAACAATGAAGATCTTCATCTATTCTGTAGTTGTACCTTAGCAATATCACTTCTGACATCTGACTGTGACAATCAAAATAATACATTTTCTAAATTATTCAACTTTGTCACATTTGTTTTCTTTTTGTTTGTACCGGAGTCAATTTTTCAGGGAATTTGTACCTTTACTCAAGTGCTTACTTATTATTATACTTCATCCACCACAGTAAATATATGACAGCAGACCACAAAACCTCTTAAGTTGTACAGATATATTTGACAATTCAGAAACTATCCCTTTTTTCAGGAATACTTCATAACTACACACTATGAATCATTTGTTAAGCATTAACTACATCTACAACTGCTGTATTGCTGAATTATATGCACATGTATAATGTGCTTAATGATTGTGTTTTCATACGTTGTTAATGAGTCATTTTTCACCACTAAATTGCTTTATTAACTAAACTTGATCCAGTTTTGTGACCTAATCTAAAGTGAGGACTATTAATGCTTTGTAAATCCCTTATAAATTATAATTAAAGGCTTTTAAGTATCATAAGAACAATAATTCTTGCAATCTTATCTAAAAATAAAAACTAAAAAATGTAAGCTTTAAACATTGCTGAATAACAGGAGTGTCAAAATACAACATTAAATTTAATAAAACGACAACAATATACTAATTTAACAATATATTATGATAAAACATGTCAGTGTTGTTAAGCTATGTTTCAACTGTACAGTCATTATATTTTAGATAAGATTGCAAAGATTTAATTTTTATTTGATTGAATTCATTTGAAGTCATTTGTTTTTTTCCTGTTTCAAATATTCTGAGTCTTTATTTGTCATTTATAAGGGATTTACAAAGCATAAATAGTCCTCAAGGCGACACGGTGGCTCAGTGGTTAGCACTGTCGCCTCACAGCAAAAAGGCCGCTGTTTTGAGTCCCGGCTGTGCCAGTTTGCATTTGTGTGTGTAGTCTGCATGTTCTCCTTATGTTTGTGTGGGTTTCCTCCGGGTGCTTCCCACAGGGTCAATAAAAATGGTGACTAATAATGTTGTCTACTCCACAGCACCAACACAAACCCCTACTGCCAACTCTAAACCATTTGAGAGAGCGGTCTTAAATAACTGTTGATGTAAGAGTCGTTAAATAAAATAAAATAAATAAAAAAAACTTGCTTTTATACTTATGTGCTGAGAGCTTTGAAAAGCTTCATAAATACAGGCCCAAGGATCTTGCAGGCCTTATTAAGATGCAGATTGTCATTTCAAGGCCTCAGATAAGCAAATATGTTAGAAAAAAAGTATTTTGCACTTTAAAAAAACTAATAATGAATTGGGTATCATTTTAAAGTTAATTAGAGTTTAGTTACCCACCAGAGATGGTAACATTGACTTTCAAGCAAATGTGTTTCTTGTGTCTATTCCAGAAGGTCAGCTGATAAACTCCAGAGTCGCTGCTTCTGGTGTTGTTCACAGTCAGAGATGCGCTTTGATGATGCAGCTCCAGTCTGCCTCTGAATCTCTTATCATCCCCGTATACAGTCTCTCTGACGTCTCCGTTCTTTCCAGATGCTAGCCTCACATCTTCATCAAATGTCCACTTTGGCTCCTCACCTTGCGCTATATTAAAATTAGTGATCAAAATTAAGCTTTCTCCCGCCATCACAGACACAGTGTTTGGGCCAGATTCACCTGAATAACAAACAGAGAAAGTTACTCAGACTGAGATAAAAGTAAAGTTATACTATCAGTTTGAATAGGACTGTGTGTCATTCATTCATTCATTCATTCACTTTTCGGCTTAGTCCCTTTATTAATCTGGGGTCGCCACAGCGGAATGAACCGCCAACTAATCCAGCAAGTTTTTACGCAGCGTATGCCATTCCAGCTGCCACCCATCTCTGGGAAATGTTTGTCTTTCAGTATCTCTCTATTTTTGTTTTCTAGTATTTTCAAAAACCAAGACAAAACATGTTTAAAATTAAAATATTGTGAGCTTAAAATTGAAAGTGTAAACTATAAATGCACTTAGCTTATCATCTAATATCATAAAAAGTTTCCTCTTAATATGCGTACTTTTTAAAAATTAAGGCTCATTGTTTGTTCTGTTCAGTGATTCACCACTAGGGGGCAATATGAGGAAACCCTCGTGATTCATGTGGATTTTAGGATACACATCGCCACTAGAGCAGAACCATTGAATTTTCAAAACGTTGTCGCATAACGAAGTTTACGGAAATTATGTAACGTTGCCAATATGAAATGCACTCAGAACCACCGATTCAAAAGAAAAAAAGATTTGTAAATGTTGTAAAGCTTCACAAAGCATTACGCCCCATTCACACGGGGCGTCAGCATCAACCCTTCCCATTCACTTTGAATGGGTGACGTCAAGCATTGTCGAACTGCATAGTGGATACGTCGGCGCCGCTTCAGAGGCATTTCTCGCTGCAGAAGTTGGGACAAGCTCAACTTTTCAAGCGCCAAAGGAAGCGTCAGCCAATCAGATCGCTGTATGCAAATACACTAGCTAGACAGTGGCCTATTGCTGACTGAATTTCATTGGCTGACGCTGCTATGACGATCGCTTCAGCCCCAACTTCAAACACGCCTTCAGTCAAACCCCGTGTGAATGGGGCGTAAGAAAGCAGCCATCAGTATTTATTAATATGAAGTAACAAGACAGGCAGCTCAGCGGTAAGGACTGTTGCGTCACAGGAAAAAAAAGTTCCAGTTTGGTGCTCCAATTTACTCCACAGCCCAAACACATGCAATATAGGCGAATTGGAGAAACTAAATTGGTCGCAGTGTGTGTGTGTCTGTGTGTGTGTGTGTGTGTGTGTGTGTGTGTGTGTGTGTGTGTGAAAGAAAGAGTAAATGGGTGTTTATCAGCACTTAAGTTGCTGTACTCTCAGTGATGGGTTTGCAGCTGGACGGCATTTGCTGCGTAACACATATGCCAGAGTAATTGTTGGTTCATTCCACTGTGGCAACCCTTGATAAATCTGTGACTAAGCCGAAGAAAAGTGAATCAGTGAAGTAACGAGAATAAAGGCTCCTAATATCATTCTTGTTTTCAGCATTCAGACCCCCCTATTTTATTTCATTATTATTTAAACTCACCAAACACAAAGACTCTGAATGAGCTGTAGATGGGCTTTTTGCTGCTGATGATGTGTAGTTTATAAGCTCCGGAGTGTTCGTTTGTGATGTCTCTGATGGTCAGAGATCCAGTCATCTTGTCCAGCAGCAGTTTGTCTCTGAATCTCTCGTCGGCTTCAGTAAATGTGCTCTCTGATGTTTCTCCGTTCATTTGAGCTATGAGATTGTTTTCGTCTCCAAACATCCACAGGATCAGATCATCTCTTTGTAGTTTAGCATTGACATTCAGAGTGACGTTGTTTCCCTCCTTTCCTAATATCATACTCGCTTAGAAACAAAACAAAGGGTTGAAATTAGATCAAGTCACAATGTGAAACTAAATGTTGACTGCAAAAGACTGGAGGAAATAATACTGAACCACTGTGATGGCAGACTTTGGTTAAAGCATTTTAGTATGAACAAAACGACATTTTCAGATCATTTACAATTTAATCGGTCTGCTGGTTTGTCCATTATTGTGGCACCACAAGGCCATTTATATTATCACATGATTTGTTAAAACAAAATCACATACATATTTGATGCAGATGCTCTGTGCACGCATGTTTCCATCATAGTTAATGTACATTGTTTCTTATTGGAAAAAAAAATTATCCTATTCAGTTCACATAAATTTATGCACATTTATTTTTATTCATGTGATTTTGGGATTTCCATTAGACATTCTTCAGAGACATCATCTCTGAAGTCGGAACATGAAGGAGTTTGAGCTAAATCACAGACTCACCTTTGACTAAAACAAAGAACCGTTTATCTGATGGCTCTGTGCTGCTGTTGATCTTTAGTGTATAAAGTCCAGTGTGTTCGGGTCTGGTGTTCTTGATGGTCAGAGATCCAGTCTTGTCATCCACCATCAGTTTGCCTTTGAATCTCCCATCAGCTGTATCATATGTAAGGATCTCTCTGCCCCCTTCCTTGATTTCAGCTAGAAGAGAGTTTTCTTCGTACAGCCACTGTATCTGATCTGTTTTACCAATTTCACCATTAACCTTTAGCGTGACAGATTTTCCCTCTTTCACTGACACTTTGTTGACTGTCAGAAAAAAGAAATGAGATCCTCAATCACTTTACAAGAAGAAAAAAACTATTCCAAATTAATTGATAATGTGATAAAGCCTATTATAAAACAGTCAGAATAACCAAATAACTCTGGTTTTAAAAGCAATGAAACAAAGTCAGAAGGGAACATTTATGTGGCACTAAAACAGACACACACATTACTTTTCATTTTTAACAAAAAATCCCCAAAATATTGAGTCAATTAATATTACTACACACACATTGCAACTAAGTGATAATAATACATTGCATGTGTGCATTTCAAAGCATCAACATCACAGAAATACTCACAGTTTACCAGCACTTTGAAGGTCTTGCTTGAGGTTATCTTGCCACTGTTGCTGATCTGTAGTTTGTACAGTCCTGAGTGATAGTTTTTGAAGTTTGTGATGGTCAGAGATCCAGTCTTCTTGTCAAGGTTCAGACTTTTAAATATCTCATAAGGAAAGACGACTGTATCTGTGGTCTTTTCCAATTGAGCTATGAGACGGTCTTCATCTCCAAACATCCACTGGATCAGATCCTCATTCTGTATTACAGTGTCAGTGACTAAAGTGACAGAACTACCCTCTGACACTGACATCACATCCTCTTCATTTTACAGAAGCACAAAGAAACAGAGGAACACAAAAGAAAGTTCATTCAGATGCTGTTTATCAGGACTGAACAAAAACAAGAGTTGATTCAATCAGTTTTGTGATAGTTTAAATAAATATCAAATGAACCCTTACAGGTTAGTGATACTAGAATAAGATGCATTATAAAAAAAGACAAATGTCATTTAAAAATGAAAAATAATAAGAATAATAATTTCATGAAGCTAATGATAAAATCACATTAAATTACAATAAATATATTAAATAAATACAAAACATTATATAATAAATAAATACAAAACATTCATTTAAAGTTGTTCACTGTACATACAGTGTGGGTGAAGGAAATATGCTGGGCTGTTTTAACTTAATGTTGGCTCAAATGTGGACAAACCCAGTGGTTGTGTTTGATTATATTTGATCCAACATTGGGTTACTACAACCAATAATTTGTGTGTGTGTGTGTGTGTAGAAAATATTTAATGGCTATAGAAATTGTGAATAGTAGTATAACTAAAGCCATTATGACTGAGAGCATGTTGAAATCTCTTGCCTTCAAATAGGCAAATATGAAAAGGTTGTCATACTTCTAGTATCAATAGTGAAGGCATGTCCCTTGCTGAAGTCACCCAGCTAATCTAAGATTTTGACAGGGTGACGCAAACACAGGGAGAACATGCAAACTCCACACAGAAACGCCAACTGACCCAGCTGAGGCTCGAACCAGCGACCTTCTTGCTGTGAGGCAACAGCACTACCTACTGCGCCACCGCGTCCCCTCCGAAGAGTTTATATAGGTTTAAATGTGAGTGTAATACAGTGTTAAATTTGACCTGCATAGGTTTATCATTAAGTTATAACGATACCTATACGAAATATTAATTATTGCACAAGTGATAAAAATATGATGCTTTCAGTGAAATTTTATATTTTTAGTCTTCTACCTACATGCTATATTTTTTCCACAAGATATTTTGGGCTGAACTAACAATTACTAACATTACTTTATATAATGGCAAGTTCATTTGTATTCAATTACAGAAATGTGTAGATTAAGTTTTTTTAATTAATTGATGAAATCAAACTATTTAACTGAGTTAATTTTTTTATTAATAATAATAATAGCAATAATACTAATGATAAAGAAATCAGGTCAATTTGAACCAGGCATGAACACTTTGGTCACGGAGTCAGAAGGCATGGATGAAGGTTAAAGATCTGAATGTTTAAACCGATTAATCTTAGCCTGTAAACTGAGCTGGTAATCACAGTGTCTTTTTGGTTCAATGCATGTGATTGGTTGTTTGCTCCTGATGTTCTGCCTTCATGTGCCCACACTCATGAACTCTGGATCAAAGTCTGAGTTAACAGAATAAGTTTATAATCAGGGTCATGGTAAAAATAAAGCCTGATTGCACTGGTAAATTAGTCAACTCAAAACTCATCCTATAATCCTGACTTTGTTTAGCCATCATCATGGAACGGGCACCTGCTCTTCACTTCAACACTGACTTTCATTTAAAGACTTGAGATACTCACGTGTGAGAGTAAGAATGAAGGTTTGGTATGAGGTCCCTGTGCTGCTGATGATCTTCAGTTTATAGACTCCAACATGTTCGCTTGCTGTGTTTGTTATTGTTATTGATCCAATCTTAGGGTCCAACTCCAGTCTGTCTCTGAATCTCCCATCAGCACCATCACCTGTGGAGATCTCTCTGGCATTTCCATTGACTCCAGCAATAAGAGTCTCTTGCGGTCCGAATGTCCACAGTATCTGATCGTCTCTCCGAATCACAGCATCAGGCTTTAGAGTGACAGATCCTCTCTCCTTCACAGACACTATCTTTGCCTCATCTGTCATAACAGCACATAAACATGGTGAAACGTGGATATTATGAATTAATCTTATTTAGTATTGGATTAAATGTTAATGAACAATCTAATAACCATTGATGCTACATGAACTGACTTGTTAGTAGAGATGCAGGCACTCCCATACTCCTGTTTTACAGTCTTGATGTGAAAATTAAAAGTGCAGTGCTGTTGATGTCAGACCAAACTCTGGGTTATGGACACAAACAAAGTTTATTATTGGCAAGATAATAATGCAATACAGGCTAACAAAAACAAGGCATCACAAGGGTAAATGAATAAAAAACAAGCAAGGTGAGCAGGCAAAGCAGACCAACAAACCAAAGACATCAAAGCAAACTAGGTATGTGAGGAATGAGAAAATTTAGGTCTGAAACACAAAACTCTGGATGCACTTGGCTGAAAACCAAAATTGCTTTGTAGTAAGTATTTATTGTTTTATTTAAAAACATTTAATTGGCTAAAATTATGATAACTGTGAACAAGTCGAGATGCATCATTTTACCGCCATTACCATGACAGCACAGTAGCACTAATGCAAGCAGCAGGATCAAGCATATGGCATGGAAATCTAGTGTTGGCACGTCATTTGAGCAGACTTTGCTATTCCGGTGAGCATGTGCAGTTCATGCAGTTATAAGTATGTGCATACATGAGCAGAATTTTGAGCTATTTTGAACTTTGACCATAGCGTATGCTGGATCTCTTCCATTTTGGTCAGTGCAGCAACTAACCACAATTGCATGGCTCGGGCTATTAAAATACATGGATTTCATAGCACTGCGCTTTCTGTGTCCAGCATAAAAGTCGCTGTAATTACTCGGCTGGAGGTAGATACTTTTTTCAGCTCATATTTTCCCCCCTTTTTTCTTTTTTGAGCCAAAAACTGAATTTTTGACTAAAATGTCTGTTCATCCCTGAAGGACAGCAAATACAAATGCAAAAAAAAAAAGACAACTTATGATGATAAGATATAGGGAATGCAAGGAGATAAAGATAAAGGAAATCCTCTAGTAGACATAAACGGCAAAACCAGCAGTGACTGTGACCGTTAATAAGATGATTAAAACCACATACATATAAACAAGAAATCCTAAAACTCAAAGAGTGTGAATGGGTTAAAAGACACTCAGAAATCTTTTGAACTATATTTGCCCAAAAATACAGTGCTTCTGGTATGAAGTAGTGACTAAAATAAAAAAAGATAACTGGAGAAGAAATGGTCTACTCATTTAATACATTATACTGTACCTTGAGAAAATGCTGGAAAATGTAAAGGAAATACACTGTTTGGAGGAAGTCCAAATAGAATAAGGATGGTGGGTCTTCCTTGGTGTCTGGAAATGATTTTTCAGAGTCCAACCCTCATTTGGAGTGATTTGGGCTCTTTTTTGGGGTATGGTGGGTCTCTGGAATGATTAAGTCTGCATCGGGATGGTGGCTCTTTCTAGTGTGCGTCTACCTCTCATTATGAGGATGGTGGGTCTCAAGCCGGATTGAAGCAAGTACACTCACTGAGTTGAGTTGTTGAGTTGAGTTGAGTTGTTGAACCAGGCCCAAAAACATCAGGCCATGTCTGACAGGAGGCCACCTACAAGTCGGGATATCTCGCACCTGGAGGTACGTGCCCGACCCCGTTAATCTCTGACCTGCCGACAAGATTTTGACGACGCATGAAAACATGAACTTGGTTCTTGTGCCTTGTTTGCCCACTGGCTGATTGGAGCTTGTGTGATGCCCCAGCAAGTTTGTCTGATTCCTGCTAAAGTTGGCAGTCGCTTTGGCCCTGGAAAGGGGTCCCATCCAGGGTGTTCAGACATTAAAATCTGCCCCAGAAAAAGTGTTCAATTCCTGTTAATTGCATTGCCTGATTTGGCCCCGGAAAAGGGGCCCCCATTCAGGGTGTTCAGACATTAAAATCTGCCCCAGAAAGAGTGTTCAATTCCAGCTTAAGGTGGCGGCCACTTTGGCCATGGAAAAGAGGCCCCATCCAGGGTTTTCATAAAAAAAAATCTGCCTCTGATTCCCGCTATAGGTGGCAGCTGCTTTTTGGCCTGGAAAGGGGCCCCATCCAGGGTGTTCAGACATTAAAATTTGCTCCTCAAAAAGTGTCAGAATCCTGCTAATTGTGGCATCTGGTTTGGCCCTAGAAGGGGCTCCCATTCAAGGTGTTCAGACATTAAAATCTGAAAAAACGCCAGGTCATGCCTGACCAGAGGCACCCTTTCCTGGCCAACCTGTCGGGATGTCCCGCGCCTGGAGGTACATGCCCGACCAAGTTTATCTCTGACCTGCAAACAGGATTTTGAAGATAAGTGAAATTGCGGACTTAGGTTCTGCCGATCTTTTGGAGCTCATGTGATGCCCCAGCCAGTAGAGTCTCTGGCAGGGTGAAACAATGAGAGGTGGTGTTGGGTCTGGCTGGCCCCAATCCAAGCTGATCTCTGAAACATACCCAGAAAAAGGTTAAGGGTGCGTATTTCTGGTCTGGTTCAATCCTGTCAGGTGTGCACACCCACAGCAAAAAAACATGCAAAGTCTCACAGTGTTGGCACAGTGAAGCTGCCCAAATGATGCCATTCGATGGCTAAAATGGGTTTCTTCGAAAGGGGGAAAAATGTAAAACAAATCCCCAAAAAGTCGTAACAGCTAAGCATTAAACCCGTTGGAAAAACGATTTGAATGTAATGGTTACACACACAACCTCTCTAAGGAGGGCATCAGCGGCATGACACGGAAGTGGGTGCCTTGTTTTGGCCTGCCCCTTGCGGTGTGTGAGTCTCTTTACCTCGCTGCACCTGTCAGCAGTTCACAAGGTGGCAAACTCGGAGGAGAAGAGACTTTTGCTCTCGCTGGCGTCTGGCCGTGTGGACTGCCCTTTTTTTTATTAGTAATTATTTTCTTCTTCCTCTTGTTTTTTTCCCCCTAAATAAATAAAGTATTAAAAAAGCACATACAGTGGCACAAACAAAAAAAGATGCATCATCAAATATACACAAACTAACCAAACACAAGTTTTGTTAATGTCATGCAGGTCAACGGTTATAAACAGACTTCAGTTATTGCTACTCTAAACCAATTTCAACCAAGCTGGTGTTAAAAATGGCCTTTATGCTGACTAACAATGGAAACACCTACAAAAGCACATTTTAATACTTACACATCTGACATTGTTGAACAACGAACTCTCCTTTTTGCGGCTCTTTTTAGCAGCACATAAAAACAAAAGTTTTATAAATACTAGGAAATTTGAATCAATCATGTAGTCCCCATTTTAAACATACAATACACTGTAGCTTTGGACAAAATAAAGAGGCTGCTCCAAACAAACTTGATTTATGAAATGAATAATGTACATTTGTAATGTTAAACTCAACATCATACCTATGAACTATATATGAAAATGCATTATACATTTAACACTCTTCTGTAGCACTACATCACTCACTTTTAGGAAGAAATTTGTGGCGATGGTAAAACACAAAAGCCGCTGCTCCTGTAAACACCAGCAGAAGAACGATGACAGATATTCCTGCCGCAGCACCTGGAGATAAACCTGAATCTGGAACTGATCAAGAAAAACACCATAAACATCCACTACTGTAGATCTTGTAAGTCAATGTTTGTTAATGATTCTTGATCAATTACATATAAAAATTACAATATGTACTTAAATATACTTTTGATATTTATATACAAGCTGCCTGCAAGTTACATCAGCTCCAAACACATTTGTGTATCCGCCATATTGGAATGATCAATTTGTCGTCATTCATTGTAAATTACAGACATCTAGTGTTTTGGGATTTAAGATTGCAGTCTGTTTGCCATTAAAGGTCATAATTTTAAATATTGTTCAGTTTCTTAACCATAAGTAAGTTCAGAACGTCTTCCATGAGTTAGGTGTGAACTTCAGAATCACAGTCGTGGTAAAATCAAATGCTGAATTGAAACCTTTTAAATCAATATTGGAGTTGCTTTTGCACGCTGGAGGAAGGATGACACAATGGCTGAAGTATTTATTTTAGAAAATATTTCTTTTAGACAGGAAAGGTTATGTTTTAAAACTATTTTAGTCACGCAAAGCTGTTGTAGATTATGTTGTTCTGAATGGGTTATATGCACAGAAGTGTTGTTCAGCCACTGAAATCTTCCAGCAATAGACTGATGTGACTATTTTCAGTTTCATAAGCACCTTTTAAAGCATTGATAATGTAGATTTTATTTAGTTTAACAACAAAACATCAGTAAATGGTGCTATTCTGCATAGCCTGCTTTACTGAGGTCAAGTTGACTTAGTGCCTTTTTTTTTCCCATGCTACTTTGAATATTTGGTCTAAAATTGCATGCAAGTATGACTTAGTAATAGGTGTAATTCCTGCACGCTGCCGGACAACCACTAACTACATTTCTAGCTGGCGAATGACATGAACTAGTGGGTTGTCTGCTGTCATCTTCACTGTGTGAGTTTGTATTTCAGAAGGTGTGGCTTTGGATGGCAGTGGAGGGACTGTGTTTTAAAAATGTTATGCTAACCAGTTATCATTTTGGCAGATCACCTACTGCAGCATTAACGTATTGCTTTTGTTTAGCAAATCTAACAACTGAAGTTTAATACAGTATACATGCATAAATCTAGTTGATGTACATTGACTAATGCTCAAGTGTTAACAAAACATCTTTGGCCTTTTATAGCAGTTTATGTAAAAAATCCTTCAGAAAGACAACAGCATATTGTAAAGCAATTTCTGTCCCTGTTATATTGTAAAGCTGTAACCCTGTAAGAGTGTTGAAAACAGTATAATTAAAATTCTATATAGTATAACTAAAAGTTAAGGGAACAAAAACTTTTGAAAAATTCCTCACCACTGACAGTAACGTTGAATAACCACTTTGAAGTGCCAGATTTGTGGTTGATCTCTGCCTTATAAAGTCCAGCGTCTGTGGTTGGGATATCCATAATGGTTAGTGCTCCAGTCTGACTGTTCAGCTTCAGTTTGTCTCTGAATCTCTCAACGTCGTTGGGATAAATGGTCTTGTTGTTATGGAATTCAGCAATGCGTGAAGTTTCAAACCTCCACATTATTCGAGTGATATTCTTTATACCAATATCATCAGTCTTAAGAGTCACAGTCTGTCCCTCCATCACTGACACTGACACATTTATTTCAGCACCAAAAACCTCTGAAGAACAAACAGAAACAACATCTCAGAGACTGAAACACTGCTGAGAATGTTAATGGGAAATAATTTAAAGGGAGAGAATTAAGTCTCGTCTTTTGAACATAATTATTTTAACTATTTAGCTATAAATAAAGAACAAATATTCATTATCAGCAACATGTGAAATGAACAGTTAATACCTCAAGACTGCCAATACAAAGAATCGTAAGGAAGAACAAGAAGAATACATGTACAGTGTATAAGCATCAGGTTATTATGAAATAATAAATGTTTCAAATAAAATGATGAGAATAATTTATTTATAAAAGCATTACTTTATTTAAGTTTATATATATATATATATATATATATATATATATATATATATATATATATATATATATATATATATATATATATATATATATTCTTAAAAAGTAGTTTACTGTAATTACAAGTACTTGCAATGTAAAGGACATACTAACTCTTCACACAAGGCATCATGGGGTGCAGGGAAATTTGGCTAAAAATACACTGTTACCCATGTTAGTTAAAATGCTGTGTGAAACCGAAAGCAGGCCTAATGACTGAACAAACCGCACACTTACCGCATTTTGATAGTAGAAACAGAATGATCCCTAAAATGATCCTCATATTGCTGCGGTTTCCAGCTAAATCTGGTTTATAAAAACAGTATTAGTGAGTTTCTGAGACACCCAGCGCGTTTTCTAAAAGAAACAACAAATCTGGAGAACCGTGGAGAGATGTTTAAATAAATCTATATGACAGTATACGTTTGTTTAAAATTCAACTCTTTCATGTTCGAGTCTGCTGCTAGGCGTAAAACTGTTGTCCAGTTCGTTTGGACGAATCGTTTTAGTGAACCGGTTCATTAAAGTAAACTTCTCAACAGTTCACCAAAACGGACTGAAGTTTCTCTCTTTGAGCGACTTTGAAACGTACCTGACTTTCACTTTGACACAGAAAAAACTAGTATCCCAGAGAATATACAAATCTAACCTTAAGCAAGACACGCCATGCTAAGAGAATTATGAACTGATTCATTTCATCCGGACTGACGATACGGAGCATGCGCCGAACAAACATGCAACAGCTGACATTTAACACTGCCTGACAGGGGCGGACCAGGAGGCGAAAGACCCGAGGGGATTCCTGGCGCCGTGTTACATTTCATAGCTCTGCAAGATATAGTCTTGCCATATGTAAAAAGAATTTAATATAGTTTGTAAGGCCATCTCCTCTGAAATCTGTATGCTTTTTTAGAAACAATAATAATAATTCATTGATTTCTGCTTGTTCCCTTAGTCCTGATTCTACTGTTGTTGGTTCTATTGTTTTTCCATCCAATCATAAAATCAGATCTTTATTTTTAGACCTTTTCATCTCAAATCCTTCTATTTCTTATTGGAACAACCTCTTTGATGATATTATGGTCGTCTGGTCGCTCCCCCAGAATTTTTTTTAACAAATAAAATTAAAGAAATATCTTTTAAAATTATTCACAGGTTTTATCCCGTTAAACAATTTTTACAAAAATTCAAAAATGACATTGACATCTCTTGCACTTTCTGTGAAACCTCTTCTGAATCTGTTGCTCACTTGTTTTGGGAGTGTCCCACTGTTAAATCTTTTTGGTCTGATGTAAACTCTCTAATTGTCCAAAAGGTTTGTGGTGATTTTTCTTTAAGCTATCGTCATGTTATTTTGGGGCTATATATTAAAGGAAAATAATTCCTTACTGCAACTTTTTGCATAAACCTCATTTTATTTTTTGGAAAGTTTTTTATACACAAATGCAAATATAGCTACTCGTGGTAAGCCTATTTTTTTATTTTTTAAACGAGAACTATAGCTCTTTATTTAAAAAACATCACAGACTCTCACAATAAGAAAGCTATTAAAACTTCTAAAATATGTGCTTTATTTAATATTCTGCAATAATTTATTTTATCTTTATGTGCCCTTAATTATTTATTTTTCTTCTTCTTTTCTCTCTCTTGTTCCCTTTAATTTGTTTTACATATATTATATTTGTTCTAAATTTGTTACAATCCACTTTTTTCAAAAAGTAATATTTCTATTGATTGTACTATACTTCTTTCAGTTTTGTATCTGTATTTGTTGTGATGTATTGTTGTTATTGCAAAAAAAAAAAAAAAAAAAAAAAAAAAAACATTTCACAGCTGTCTGCCGTTTGCATTTATCCGGCGATTTTACTTTCTGTTTCTCATGGTTCTTTTAATAGCCTGTGTGGAAAAAACGGGACAAAAACTTTTGATATTTCGTATCTAAGAAAAAGTAGCCTATAAAGCACTGGCAAAATAGGAGATTTTTTTTTACAACTCAAAAATCAGATGGCCAACCAACACATGAGACAATACTGCTTTCTGAAGATGAAAATTTGAGATGCATGTTGTGATTTTAGTGCACATGACTACATAACTAAACAGAACTATCACAAAAACATTAGAGTCATGTATGCCATGTACGAAAAGTCATGTATGGCAAAATTGTGAGATTGTCACAAACACTTGCAGTGCCCTTAAATGAACACTGGAGGGCATCCTACCAGCTTGACCAGCCTAGCCAGGCTGGGAGCCTAGCCAAAACCATCTATGCCCAGTTTAAACCAGGCTGGTCAAGCTGGATTTAGCTGGTCATTTTCCAGCCCGACCAGCTAAGACCAGGCTGGAAATGGCTGGAAACCGGCCTGGAAATGGCCAAAACCCCTCTAAAACCAGCCTGGTTGACCAGCTAAAACCATCCAACCAGCCTAGGCTTGGATTTTTCAGCAGGGTCTGTCTTCTTCTGGGTTTAGTTTAGTCTTGATTTTATTTGACGTTTTGTTGCTTTGGTAATGACTTGCCTTGTTTTCCTCCATTTTGCATTTGAAGTTTATTTTTTATATCTTGAAATGAAGCTGCAATTGTATCCTGAATCTTGACTCTTCTGCCCTTCACATAATGAA